AATAAATAAATAAATAAATAAATAAGTTGAGATGAGTCATTCGACAGCAGCCATCCCAAGTGGCTCAGGACTGAGGATGCAGGGCAGAGTCACCAGCCTTGTAGATCCAAGCAGGACCATGCTGGCCATTTGCATTATGGAGCTCTGCTCAGTTGGCAGCTGCAGCAAGAGCTGTTGGCCATCTGTGCAGCTGACATTTCTCTGGAGCAAGCCCACAGCCATATCTAAGGATCTGTGAGAATTTTGATTGCAATCCCAAACGTGAACATGAGCAGGAGCACTTGTATTCAAGAATTGCAACTGTGTTCGGAAAATGCACTTTGAAAAGAAAGAAGGGGGCATATGCACACTTCCATCAACTGGGGGAACTGTGCACTTTCAAGTGCTTTGTTTGGACTTGTCCCGTTCAAACAAGCTGGAAAACAAGTTAAAAATGAAAGCAGGAGTGAGCTGCGACTTACTCTGAATGAATTCCAGTGAGCTGGAAAACTGCTGCTTCTCTGAACCCTAACTATCTCCTCCAACAACTCACCTTGGCAACAAAGGCTGCAATCCTATGCATACTTACTAGTGTAAGACACTGCCCACTGGAGAGAATGGGACTTACTTTTGAGTAATCACCCACAGGATTGCCCTAATAAGACCAAAACATTTCAGCCCTACTGCAAATTCTCCAGTAGAAAGCCCATGGCACGTTTTAAGACATTGCAAACTAATATAACGGCATTACCTTCATGTGGCTGTGTTGCTGTACACAAATTTATTCAGTCAAGGAGTCTCAGGGTGTTTTGAAAGGTAGGTTTCTCAAGGTAAACACTACTTAGTGTCAGGAAACTTTAAGAACTTCTTTCCTCAATTGTGAAATGTTTGGCTAGTTTGCATGCTTTCTTTAATGAAACATTTTTTCCCCTTAAGATAAGTAAACTTGGACTGAAGAATTTTTTATGAGAGTATAGATGTTTGTAGGCACTTCATACAACAAACAAACTAATAAACCAACAAATGCTCCAGAGGCTAGTCGAGGTTATGTGATTCCTAAACTGCAACCATTTTCATGAGAATTCAATTTATAAATATTTGGTGTTGTAGCACTCACTCTACTAGATGCTAGTTCACAAAATGTAAGCCTGGTGACCAGCTAGCCTATGCCTTAAGTTCAGCTTGATGTGAGAAAAGCCACTCTATGTGCTGCATTTTAGAATTGGTTGTTACTACCATGTACAACTTTCCAAGTTAACTGGGAAAATATATAGTAGATACAATTCCAAAATTTTAGAAAACAAAGTGGATTGCATCAACCAGAGAAGAGAAACCAAACAGTTTATTGGCAGTTATAGTCAAGTTCATCACATTTTCAGCTATAAAGAGATATACGTTGGAAGTAGAAAAATTCTTCATAAAAACTGTGACTTCCTATGGGGCTTGGCTTTCTTTCTGCTTGTTCATCCATAACTAAAGCATTATATGTTATCACAAGTAAAAGATTTGTGTTCAAATTGCCCACTTAAGCTGTGAAACTAAATCTATTGTTCGAGCAAAGTTACCATCATTTAGCCTACCCTACACCACAGTAGAATGGCTAGATGCATGACAAGCTGCACTGGCTCTAATTCCCTCTTCTGCACCATGGTTAAAGGTTCAGGGGCCCAGCCTTCTCTTGTATCTGACCTTCTACCTGACAGGGTTGTTGTGAGATAAAACAAAATGATCCTAACCAGTGTCGCTGTGAGTTCTTTGGAGGCAAGGCAAGATACACATCTGATCAATAAAAAAGCTAATCATGCTAAAGAAGTTGCCATCTTCAGAGCAATTGGAGGAAACACCCTATAGCTCTAACGTACCTTTGCAGCAACTATGGGTCCTTCCCATTGTGCAATTTAGTGCAGAATTGACTATAGGACCCTTGTGGCCACCATGTTACAAGCAGAGGGTGGACTCTTGACCCCCACAGAAGCACAAGAACACAAAATAATTTCTTTTTTTCCAGTGCATTCCCAGGCATACCTATTTTGACATATGACCCATTGAGTTCAATGGGGCTTATTTTCAGATAAACAAGAAGTGCCAAACTGCAGCCTTATGCTTTAAATGTGTTGTATTATGAGTATTCTTACTGAAGGAGCATAGTTGCATATGTAGGAGCAGTGTCAGCCCTTGTTTTTTAATTGCACTATGGTTAATGTTACACATCTGTAGACTGAAAGTCTATTCCACAAAGCAGCAACATGCAAAATGAAGATCTGCTTCAGCTCCCATTCACTCTGTCCATGAAAAATCTATTGCAGCCTAATATATGCTGGGGTGGCAAGCCGATGCCTGGACTGTACCTCTTATCCTGCAGTACAAAGTTCTAAGTAAATGCTCTACCATATAACAATTTCCCTGCATGCAGAAATGCCAGGGAGAAGGGTTTTGACTTAGCCTTTTCTCAAACACGCTAGTTATCTTCTGCAGGGTATTTGTTTTTTGTAGGGACTCCACTATGTACTCTGAAGTGGCACATCCCAGGTATGAATCCATCTGAGGTAGAATGACATAAATGGGCTGGTTACTATCTCAGTTAATTAAGCTCCAAGCTAATCAAAGCAATGTTGAGCTGTGCTTGAAAGTATTTCAGTGAAGCTCACTAGAAGACACAGCCACATATTCATTATATTTATTTTGTATCTCTTTTTCTTCAAGGAAATCAGAATGGCTTACATAATCCTCCTCCTCTCATCTTATTTCTGTGAGGCAGGTTGGGCTGAGAGTCTGTTTCTGGCACAAAGTCACCCAGTGAGCTTCATGGATGAGTGGGGATGAGAGCCCAGAATTCCTAAATCCCACTCCAGCACTCTAGCCACTGCACCACAATGCCTCTCTGCATATACATACTATACTACATGTGCCTTCTAATGATGTGTTGTTCACCCTCCCTCCCTCCCTCCTTCTTTTCATTATGCACATTTGCACACATCATTCCAATAAAATTGTCAAACCAATTAATAATACAATACATTAGAATACAATAACAAAAGCATAACACTAATACAATAACTATTCCATCAAGATTATTAACTATTACATAAATTTGTGTAATCAACTATGTACAAATAAAATTGTTTGCAGAGAAGCAATGCTAAGATGACCACACCTTAGATTCTGTGGGAAATCTCCATTCACTTTTGAAGAGAAGGTGATTACAGCTTACCTGTTCCAATGAACAAGACATCGTATTGGCCATCCTCTGCATCTACCCGATCAACTACAATCTGTGTGAACTGGTAATCCAGATCTGTTTTGATCATAATGGGGCGATTGTTGATAGGAAATACAGGGTTGTACATCGCTGGATGGCTTCTTGCAAATGTGATGACTTCATCAGGAAGGTCCTTGGTTGAATCAAAGCCACCAAATGTCTTGCTTGGACACTGATTAGGAAAGCAGAAGAGAAAAATAATCAAGACACTGGTTGCCCTCACAGGAGGCATCACAGGGTCCCCTTTCTATCACATTCCTAGCTTGACCTTTTCCCAATATGTTTTCACCAGGACTAAGCAACTTTTGGCTGTCCAGCTTCTTTGGCCTACAACTGCCATCCTCACTAGTCAGCATAGCTACAGATGAGAGATGCTGGGAGTTGTAGATTGAAATATCTGAAGAACCACAGCTTGACCACCTCTGGTTTACCCCTAGGCACAGAAAGCCTGTTGGTAGCTGTGGGCCTGAATTATGTTTACAGGGATTATTGGTGACCTCAATAATGCCTCCAGAACAGCCCATCATATAATCAGTGCCTCCATTAGGGATAGGGAGGATAAGGATAGAATAGACTGCCTATTTGCAGTCTATTCCTCTTCTTCGTGCCTTCACTCACAAGTTTAATCCATTCCATTTCTGTATTAAACTAAAAGATAGGAATAT